AGAAAACAACCCGGCAAAGGTGAAACATCACCCAATTAGCATTTATATTAACCCTTAAGAAAACCGGTTGCAGGACTTACAGTAAATTAGCTTAGGTTAAACAATCATTGTCCTCATAAATATTCTGTGGTTTAATAAACTTTATAAAAAGAAATTGTCAACCTTACAATTATCTATACATATAATAAAATTGTAACTAAGTCGAATCTGTACATTAAATAATTTTCGGAAATCTAATTGAAATAGACATTATTATCGATACAGAGTCCGAATCTATAGTTTTTAGAGTTTTTGTTTGTCTGTCTGTCTGTCTGTCTGTTACCGCATCACGAGAAAACCACTCGACAGATTTTGATGAAATTTGGTATGTAGATAGCTGGTTATCCGGGTCAACATATAGGATACTTTTTACCGCGGGAAAATATCTCATTTCTAAGAAAAAATACAAAAAGTGCATTGTAAGAGTATACTTATATGTAAAACCTAAGAATTTGGTTTTTGGTCATCTGAACGCGGGCGGAGCCGCGGGCAATGCTACTCTCTTATAAAACATAAAAAAATAGAACAAACTACTAATTGTACTAATCATAAAATATTGAAAGTAGTTTATTATAATTATAGAAAATGTAATTACTTTATGCATCGCAACGTTGGGATTTTCCATAACATGGTAATTATAAATCGTTAAAAGTCTTTCAACCAACATTTTTTACTGCCTCTCGTAATAAGTGGCTTAATGCCAGGTTTTACGTGAGGCTTTGCTGGAATAAAATTTGCGAAAAAATATAACCTCTCTAACATTACTTACACACTTACGCAGCTTATTTCTAAAATATATTTAAAATATAACCTGCTTAAAATAATGTTAGTACAGTGTTTTAAATTTTTTTTTTTAATATCACCACTATCAAGTAACCACTACATATTTAATAATTAAAGTCTTCCGCCACGTTCGGTTTGTGTTTTTTCGCGCTCATCTTCGAAACTCCAAAGAGTGATTGTTCAGGAAGGTTATAATAGGCTATAATTTATAAACATATTACAAAAACAAGCTACCGTTATGATGATATTTATTCGGAAAAAATCGGCCTTTAATTTTAAATAAAACTATCTTTTTGGTATTTTTGCGGATTAATTTGAGTTTTGGTTCCCCATGTTTCGAATGCTTTACAGCAATCATTGTCACAGGAGAGACTACGGTTTTACACGTTTGGCTCAGTGTGTAGTGACCTTACTTGCTGTGCCAGCGGTCGCGGGTTCGAGTCCCGCTGGGGGCATTTATTGTGTGATGAGCACGAATGTTTGTACTCCGGTCATGGGTACTTATATTTATAATATGTATGTATTTAAAGTTTATATATGTGTAGTGTATCAACTATCTGGTATCCATAACACAAGCCTCGTAGCTTACCATGGAACTAGACGGTGTTGTGTGTTAATGTCCCAACATATATATATATATATATATATATATATATATATATATAATGAGTGAATAAATAAATAGGTTTGTATTTACACTAATACAAAAAGTTATTTAAAAATTTTCAAATCGACTACAATTCATTGTATCAAACATGTGGCGCTTATTGTTTTAAAAATTCAATAGTTAATTTTTTTGATTAAACGGTTTTATTGAAAACAAAGATAATAATGATGTAGATATTTTTTTTTTTATGGGACTAAGGGGGCAAACGGGCAGGAGGCTCACCTGATGGAAAGTGATCACCGCCGCCCATGGACATCTGCAACACCGCAGGGCTTGCAGATGCGTTGCCGGCCTTTAAGGAAGGAATACGCTCTCTTCTTGAAGGTGGCCAGGTCGTAGCGGTTCGGAAAGACCGCCGGCGATAGCTGGTTCCACAGAGTGGTTGTGCGGGGCAGAAAATGCCTTAAAAATCGCACTGTTGTGGAACGCTGGACATCGAGGTGGTGTGGATGGAATTTACTATTTTGGCGCGATGTCCGATGATGAAATTCAGCAGCCGGGATCAGTCCGAACAATTCCTCGGAACACTCCCCGTGGTAAATGCGGTAGAAGATGCAGAGTGATCCAACATCTCTACGCAGAGCTAAAGGATCAAGCCGATCAGAGAGATCTTGATCGTCGATAACTCGAGCCGCCCTACGTTGAATGCGGTCAAATGGAAGTAGCTGGTACTGGGGAGCTCCCGCCCAAAGATGAGAACAGTACTCCATGTGGGGCCGAATTTGCGCCTTATAAAGAATAAGACGCTGACGCGACGTGAAGTACTGTCTCGCCTTGCTGAGCACACCAAGCTTCTTTGAGGCCAGTTTGGCCTTACCTTCCAATTGACCACGGAACTGGACGTTGCTCGAGATGTCGACGCCAAGTATTCCGATACTGGCTGTGGCAGACAGAGGAGTGTCCTCAAATTGAGGAGCTACGATAAATATCGACTTTTTAGCGGTTAACGCGCAAACTTGTGTCTTTTTGGGGTTGAATTGGACTAAGTTTAGTCGACCCCAATCCGAGACTTTGGTTAACAAAGATTCGACTTATAATATACTAAAAGCTAAAAAATAATTTCAATGGTCCTAGGTAGTCCAGTAGTAACGTGCTCGCTTGGATAACCGAGTGAAGCGGGTTCAAATCCCGGGTCAGGCGACGAAATAACGAGAAAAAACTTAAACGATTTGCGCTCTATAGTATGAGTCTTACGGAACTCATGATCAGAAGTCGAGTTAGCTAGTCCCTTGTTCAAAGATACCGCCAAAATGGTTGGTAGGTAGTGTTTGTTTGTCATCTTTACCCGGTCAAATCAATAAGGTCGATCTTAATGAATTCGACAAAAGTAGGAAATTAAATAACTTTCGCGAGCTAGCAGTTACGTCTGCCTTTATATTATTCTATTTTAGACAGATGAAATAAGGTGATCTGTTTTAAGTAAATGTTGAATAATAAACTTACTTAAAATTATATTATTGTTAAAATATTGAGTAGGTAATGAAGTAAAATTAAAATAATGAAACTAAGAAAAACAGACTTATTAGTGAAATATATTGTATGTATTCAGCCCTTTTTTAACGTCCCACTGCTGGGCACGGGCCTCCCTTCAATACGAGGGGGATCAGGTCATAGACCACCATGCTGGCCAAGTGCGTGTTGGCGGACCTCACATGTCTTTCGAAAACTTGCTAAGTTCTCTAAGACATGCAGGTTTCCTCACGATGTTTTCCTTCACCGTTAAGACGAATGGTAATCATGTTGGAAATGATTCGCACATGAAAATATCAAAAGTGCGAGACCCGGGATTTGAACTCGCTTCACTCGGTTTCCCAAGCGAGCGCGTTACCACTGGGCTACCACTGCCTCAGATTAGTTAATTGAAATTAACAATTCATTAAAGGTTTCAGGTCCTATCTATATTTATTTATGATAATCGCATTTGTTCCTGAAATTGAGATAAAATAAGGTTATCGCCTTATCTTTGTGCAAAGAGTAATTAGGAAAATTCAACATTTTTTTGGGCCAACGTTCTAATAACAAATATTATTTTTCAGCAATACATAGTACGAGTATTGTTGAGATATCTATAGTCTATACAATGCAGCCACTATAACTGTCCAAGTGAATAACGAACAAGCAAAAACTATGTCGAGGAGTGGATCAAGAACTTGTCTTATTACCGAAATTGCTCACTAACGTTCTGGGACATGTTATTTAGACTCATGAATATAGCAAAAATGTCACTGATTTTATAAAATCTCTGCAGGAGTATAGAAGATGCTGCAATACTTAAAAGTATAAGTCTACTTAAAAAACTTTAAAAACTGTTTTTACCTAATTGCAATGTGAGCAACATTACACAACACAACAACAACAGGTAAAAACAGTTTTGAAAATCAAATAGATAGTAATGAACCATTCATTGCCGACTGAATAGACTTAGACAGTGGAACCCTTCAATGATTACTTACTAATTTAAATAGCCTTCTAAATTAGGCTCATTTTAACGAGTAAATCGATATAAAAGTTTCTCATAAGAATATTTTTTGAGCATTTTAAAACCATTAATATTTATTTGTTTGTACAAAACATAGAAGTGTATCAAAAGAATTTTTGTGCGTATACTTTTCGTGTGAAAATATAATTTATTAATCCTATGATTAATTAATATATAATTAAAAAAAATAAAAACCGACTTCCAGGCACTAAAATGAAAAAAAATATCTGGCATTTTCTTTTAGAATAGATACAAGTAAAAAAAATATTTTAATAATTAATTAATTATTAAAATTATAAATAAATTAATAATTGTCTACGCCCTCGGCAGAGTGTAAGCCAAATAAGGATGGCACTTTTTTCTTTCCATGCCATTCACCGGTAATGTACGAGTATAACAAGTCAGTCTGTAACAACTATACCTTCAAGACATGTAACACCTCAGTCTCTCCCGTGACCATGGATGCTGTAAAGCATTCGAAACGTCGGGAAACAAAAATACAAATAAATCCGCGACAAAATCCGAAAAGATAGTTTTATTTAAAAATGTCGAACATTCGCGTAAATCTAAGAAAGTATTATGATACATTTCCTTTTAAACCAATCTAAGAAAGATGAATATTTTATCAAATTATTGTTCTAACAACGACAGCTACGACTCTAAACGTCGTTTATATCGATTTTGACCTCTTCACGTTTTAACGGAATAAATGGTAAGTAATTCAAAAATAATTGCTGCGTGCTTTAATTTTGCGTTATAATTGTTGAATGTTATATAAATAATGCCGTTCTAAAACGTTTAATTTTGCTTGATGTAAGTTTTCTTCCATTAATCTTAAATTGTTCCTCTCACAAAGTTTTTACAAGTTGCCTGAATAAGTCACAAAAGGAAAAACCCAAAACATTTTAGGTCATGTTCATTGAAGTAAAAACGATTTAATATCCTTTTTGGCTACTACTGCTGTAATTTAGAAGATTAAAAAATTATGTAGTTAAATCAAAGGATTTATAACTAATCATCATATTATAATTATTTTTCCTCTACAAGTGATGTGATGTTCTCCTGACCGATTCTGGCCACGGCGGCCAATCTCATTGAGACTAGCCAACTGCGCACTATAATATGTGCACAAGTGCACTCTCTATTCCTGTCACTCTCATACTCCGGTGGGACGACCACTCGACACGACCAGTGAGAGTTAAGGCGCAGGACCGACGGCTTTACGTGCTCTCCGAGACACGGGGGTGAAACACCGCTCAACAACTGCCCAACTCGGGGCTGTTATTGAGGCTTAATATACAGAAAGACTCAATAACCAATCTTGGCCCGATCCGGGACTCGAACCCAGCCACATGCTAACCACTACACCACCGAGATTTATACATAGGTACATATATAATTCTCAATACATTAACTTTCATACTTTGTGAAATGATTCTTGTATAATCAAAAATATTATTAAGAATTAACTTTATATTCAAAAATAGTTTTAACTACTATATCATTGTTATATGTATATACACATCGTAGTTATCGTTTTAGTAAAAAGGTTTTATATAATATTAAGTTAGATCTATACTTTCAAGCAAATTAACAACACCTGTCAGACCTCTATCAAAGATGACTTGCAAAATAATGTATAAACTCTATACATATAATAAAATTGTAAATAAGCCGAATCTGTACATTAGATATTTTTTGGAAAATCTCATTGAATTAGACATTATTATCGATACAAAGTCCGAATCTATAGTTTTTAGAATTTTTGTCTGTCAGTCTTAATTTTATCTGTTACCGCATCACAAGAAACCCACTGGACAGATTTTGATGAAATTTGGTATGATGATAGCTGGTTATCCGGGTCAACATATATGATACTTTTTACCGCGGGAAAATATCTAATTTCTGAGAAAAACACAAAAACTGCATTGTAAGAGAATACTAATATGTTAAAACTAAGAATTTGGTTTTTAGTCATCTGAACGCGGGCGGAGCCGCGGGCAATGCTAGTTTAAATATAAAAAGATAAAAGGTTCCTTTTGTTTTGTATAAGCTGACTTTTGTCTTGTTTGTTGTAGCCTTTTAACACCTATTAGTTTTAAATTCTATCCTGCTATCATAGATGGGTTTATTGTAGATGTTTAATTATTAGGAACAGAACAAGAAAAACTGTTTTTTTTTTAATTTACAGATTCAAACTAGAGAACGCTGGGCAGAATTAATGAGTCTGCTACAGCTCTATAATTTCTAGAGATTGTCGTATAGCGCAAAAATTACTAACACAATAATTTATCATCAAACATCAAACAAAAATATTTCAATAGAAAAAATATTCATCTAGTGTAGTTTATTTATATATGATGTCCACAAGATTACCAGAATTTATTCAAATTTATGTAAGCAGACAAACACGTGTATTGAAGGAGAATAATAGATATCCTAATATTTGAATTTTGAAATGAAAATATTATAATATATTCTCACCTTGATTTATGGCGATGTATATTTAATGTTTAAACACATGAGGCGTATGTCTGTTTTTTATCAAAATCGCTTAATATATGAAGCATTATCGGTAATGCGCTATCATTTATTTTGTGAGTCATATTTTTTTTTTAATTCAGCAAGCTTATTGTAGTTTATTTATATCAACAGAGCACACCCATTCAATTTAATGGAAAATCCAGAAACGTCAGGGTTTACGTCTTTGTTAATACAGCCATGACAGCGAATGAAATAGATTGATTTTGAAGTCATATGAATATGGAGTAGTCTTAGATATGTAAAGACCACAAATTAGTTTATTACATTAAGAGAGAATTTTCAATGGGAATGGGAGGGAAATATGGGTGTTTTTAACTTTACTAAACTTAAAAAACCAAATAACTATTTTTCGTTTTTGTCTTTAACCAAATCCTATTAAGATGTTAATCAAACATAATATTTTCATCTCAAAATAAGTTTGAATAAAATGTAATCAATGTACGGGTGGAAACAACGCACCTCGATCAACATGGCATAATTGATGAGTATAGATTGCTCCAGATTGAATTTAAACGCTCTCGACGAACTGTTATTCTCTTTTGGGATCAATTATTTCTTTAATAACTAAGTTTCTGTACGTCTACATAAGTTACTGAACAATATCTAAATTTACATTAATTAAAATAATTAATTTACAACATCTTTTATTTGTATTGATATGATATGAAAAGGTGGAGTGTTTTAAAGTTAAAGCTTTAAGCATATAATACTTAGATTTACGCGAATATTTGACATACGTCGACGAAACGTCGGGAACCAAAAATCAAAATAAATCCGCGAAATAATCCGAAAAGCTTTATGTTATAATTACCTGGCGTGCAGTTTTTGTATCTGTAATATATATATATATATACATATATATTTATATCAAGTTGCTTAAACTAGCTGATTCATCAACGTCCAAAACAATCCTCTGGAATAGAAGGGCTAATATTATGACAGCCTTTTACTATAATGATTTACTCGTACCTAGTATAGTATTATATGATCTATGCTCGTACGTAACCAGTAAGAAAGGTTTTTTTTTTATTTGAGACCCTGTTATACAACTTACAGCTTTTTTCAGAATTTTTCAAACCGACACAGATAGGAGTAGATGTAGATATATAGATAAGTATATCTTTTATTGTACACCAGAAAAAATACACAAAAAAGAGGATTTTAAGTGAATATCGCTAAAAGCGGTCTCTTTCATGCAACATTAGGATGGAGAAATAAAGTATTGAGTATAATATATATATATATATATATATATATATATATATATATATATATCTTTATATATATAATTCTTCTGTGAGTGTGTATGTCACTGAACTTCTCTCAAACGACTGGACCGATTTTGATGAATTTTTTTGTATGTGTTCAAGGGGATCTGGGAATGGTTTAGATTCACAATTTGAATAATAATTTTCATCAAAAAAATTATTAAAAAAAGTTTGAAATTTTCAAATTAAAGACGTGTAGACAGGACAACGTCTGTCGGGTCCGCTAGTATATATATATATATATATATATATATATATATATATTATTACAACACTATAATTGTTAGTATCCTCAGAAACAAGTAAAGAATAGACTTAGTTTATAATGTGTTCAATGTTCATATATATTTTACATGAGCAGTATCTTTTTCGGTCCCATATTTCAAATACCTATCATAAACATAAATTATTTTGACCAACTTATTTTCGTTGAAAATATTTCGAAATGCTATTATCTCTTTTTTTTTGAACTGATCCCATATTCGATAAAAAAGTATGAGGGTCCCGCTTTTATCTTTTCGTTACGAATACCTAAACATATTTTTTTTATTTTTTGATAAATTCATAATATTATTTTAGTTTTTAATTCTATAAAATAGACCGGTTTTTGCTCTCATATAATGTATAGTACCTACTCGTTATACTCGTAGTTAAGCTTAAGGCTAAGGCTCGTTGGTATCAAATTATTGGATTGTCATCTGCATTTCACATACATAGAAGACTTCAAATCGATACGACAGTTAAAGTAGTAAGTTGAAATCGATTTCCAAGATACTATGTCATACTTAGTTAGATACTAGTGAAGCTTATAAAATCATGTTAAAATGAGAAGGGTCGCCCTCAGCTTTTTTTCGCATTTAATTAACTATATTTATATCATAATTACTTTGTTTGTTTCATAATATATTTATTTATTTATTTATTTATTTATTTGGAAGACAAACAGTATTATGTTACATATTATAAACAAAAGAAATAAAAAAATTACATACACCAATTAAGTCTTCACTGTTTACACATTCTTAAGGTAGGTATATGTTAGCTTATTAAAATTAAAAATTAAAGTATATAACAAAAAAAAACGGGGAAATGATATATATATATATGATCATAGTGATATATATATCATCAGTCGGAGACATACATATATATATATATATATATATATATATATATATATATATATATATATATATAAGACGGAGGAGGATTTAGTTACCTTTTTCTGTTATGAAACCTTATTATTGTTTAAAGTCACTATGTTCTTTAATTTACTTTTTATTGCTTATAAAGTTATTTTGAATTTAGAGCACAGATTTAGTCTCGAGCGGGGTCGAGACGCCATCACGACATTCTTTGCAGATACGTGGTGTAGTAAAGTCGGTTGATCTTAAAGAGTTATGTTTGATATTGTAGTTGGAAGTCGATGATCGGTGACTGTGAACCCGCTAGCTCTAAATCATTAGTATTACCGTTTCAAGTTTATAACATTGTGACTTTCCTGATTAAATTGTGTATTGAGCACTGAATACTTTATTATTTGAGCCCTGATAACGCCCACAAGATGAGTAACCACTAAAGATGATGTTCGTAGTATATGGATAACACGACATATATATATATATGATCCAGTTAAGTTGATAAATGTTTCAATTTTGTGTAGCTACGAGGAGGTAACGTACAGCAGTTGATGATAAGTTGCCTTAGCTTATTTTATTATGAATATTTTAAACATAACATAGTTATTTAATTACAATTATTTGCAGTGAAATTGTTATTCATGATACTCTGATTGACGAAGAAGATATTTTTTCTCTTGTTCTAATACTAGCGACTTACCCACGCCTCGCTCGGGTGTATACCTAGGTACGTTTTAAATATAAATAGTTATTACGAGCGTACCTACATTTATAGACTTAGATAAGACCTACATTTTTTTAGAGCATTGTTTTGATGTATGTCTTATGGTTTAGCCAGCGTTAGCCATATAAATTTCTAAGGTGGACTCGATACAACCAGTCACTGTGTTTTCCCGTGGGAATGAAAGTTTTTCCTGTAGTAAAACGTATCCTAAATTTACAATTTGACTCGAGTAAAGGTATCTGCCCACTACACCGTCTCATACCAAGACCGTGCTAGGACCTATTATAATTTTTTTTAATGTTGGGAAATGCATTTACGCATACCACCTAGGGTGGGCTACGTTTTTTTGGCTTCACGCCCGGCTGGATTGCCAAACGCTAATGAGATTTTTTATAATATCCACTATCATGGTTTCTATTCAAGAACCTTTTTTATTCATTTATGCTCTTAAATGTTTCCTATAGACGTAGTTTAAGAACGACCATATGGTCATTATTTTTTATGAATTGAAAATATTTCTAATGTTATCAATTCATAAAAATTAATTACGTTTATAGTTTAAATCTACATACTACATAAATAATGTATTAATTCTTATCGAAGAGTGATTTGCATACTTTACTATACTGAAAGTAGGTACTGAGTTCGAGTGTCTCTTAATCTTAAAGATGTCTATTTGTGTATTCTATCGCTGATCATCCGAGAATGGCTGGACTGATTCATTGAGATTTTTTATAGCTGCGAATCTACATTATTTTTTTTTTATTTATTTATTGGCCAATACATAACAAATACATTATAATTTGCAATTTAAGTACCACGAAAACCTCGCGGGTTTATCTGGGTACAGAGAGTCATTCAGTTTATTCGGTTTGTTTTTGTAAAAAATATTTTTTAAAAAGTGATTTGATTTTCGTGGTACTTTTATACATTTCTTGCAGTTCTCTGGGCAGTTCGTTAACATATTCAGGTATTAAGTAGTTATCAGTTCTCTTTCCATACTTATTGTTAGTTTTTGGTAAGTGGTATTTATAGTTTAAATCAAGTTGACGTAAGCCTAAAGGTCTAAGTTTTTCATTTAACAAGGTTGTATTATTAATTTGAGTTAGAATAGAAAATTTAACTTTATCATATATGTTCATAACATTACAATGCCGAAATAGCTGAATATAGTTGTTCTTATAATTATTAAGTATGCGTTTAGGTACAATTGTTTTTAATAATCTTAACTGTAAATTGTAAATATTTTCCAAGTTTGATTTGCAGGATCTGCCGTAACTACTAACACCATAATCGATAACCGAGTCACCCAAGGCCACGTACAGGAGCCTTAGTGTCTGGTATGGTAATTTGGCTTTGAGTATACTTAGTTTACTTAATAATGATCTTAATTTAGAGCAAACGTGATCTGTATGCGGGCCCCAGGTAAATCTGTCATCGATCATTAAGCCTATGTACATATGTGTTTTCACTTGTTCAACAGCTACACACGAACAATTCAGACTGCATGAAGAGTGCAAACAAGAGTGGTTGTGAGCCACGATGGTAGGTCTGATGTCTGTCTGATTGTGCGACGAGTGAATATGTATAAACTTCGTTTTGTGTGCGTTTATTATCAGACCTACATCGTGTGCCCATTTACATAATTGATTAAAATTATTTTGTAGTTTTTCCTGGGCATGTTTGACCGTTCTTTGAGCTACCACTAAACATGTGTCGTCCGCGAACTGGTATACAGTGCCCTCATTTATAATATTAACCATGTCGTTCACATATAACAAGTACTCAGTAGGGCCGATAATTGAGCCCTGTGCTGTGCCCCGTTTGGTTGATATTAAGTTACTACATTGTTTGGATAGGCTTACTGTGGTTTTTCTGTTAAGATGATAATTTTTTAATAATTTCAGTAAAGGACCCTGTATACCACCCCGCGAAAGTTTATCGAATAAAATATTGTAATTTAATACATCAAAGGCTTTGCTAAAATCTATGAGTAAAACGAGCACGTGAAGTTTTTTGTCCAAATGCGTGTTAACTTCGTTAGTAAATTTTCTTAGTAATTCAGTGGTGCTTTTATTTTTCTGAAAACCATATTGTTTATTATTAATGATTGAATGTTGAGCTAAATATTTATTTATTTTATCCCCTAGGTACCTTTCTATAATTTTATCTACACATGACAAAATAGTGATGGGACGGTAATTATTATAATCGTCATGCTTTCCCTTCTTATAAATCGGCCGAATTACGCCAATTTTCAACATATCCGGGTAAATTGATGTAGCTATGCACTGGTTTATGAGGTGAGTAATGACTGGTACTAGATGTGAGGAGGTATATTTTATATCGCTTGCCCTAATTCCGTCATAACCTGGACTTTTTTTGTCACTTATACGCAAAATTATACGTTTGACATCCTCTTCACGTGCTCGCTCTAGTCTGATTGAAGTTTCTGGTATATTTTCATACGAGGTAGAATTTAACATTTTCAAATCACAATCGATACATATACTTTTCACATTATTGTCGAATTCTGTCGCAAAATTATTTGATAGACTAAGCGGATCTTGCTTAAAATGCTTAATAATTACATCGTCAATACATTTAGCAATTTTTCCGGTAAGATTGTTAACTATTTTCCAAATTTCTCGTTGATTTTTAAAGTTTTTACAGATATCATTCTTTATTTTACGATTATTTAAGAATTGAGTATACTTGTTTGTTTTGTTTCTATACGAATTATATAACAATCTCTTTTCAGGATTTTTTTCATCGGCACGCCAAATATTATAAAGTTCGTCCCGTTTTTTACACATATACTTTAACTTTTTGTTTGCCCATATACAAATTTTTCTTTTACTTTTATATTCTACACAATATTTACTCGTTTCATATGCATTTTTAAATTGCTTGTAAATAAAATTATAAATATCGTTAGGGTCACTAAGACTAAGCGGTTCGCTCCAGTCAACACTGCATAACTTGTTTCGCAGATTGTTATTATTTATTCTCGTAATCAGCTGAGGCAGGCGTGAGTCATCGGTACCGAGCCGCGCATCGAAGATCGCACAACATGTTATACAATGATCGGCTAGGACGATTTTTACAACGCCGGTATATATTTCACAATTAGTGATATTTCTAATAAATACATGATCAACACAAGATTTACAAATTATGTCCATGCGTTTTTCTATTCGTGTATATTGATTTATACCCGAGTAAAAGCCTATTTCGTATAGGGAGTTTAAGTAAAGATTTGTAATAGGGCTACTTTTTTTAATGTCTAAGTTTATATCTCCAATAATAACATAATTATTTTTTGAGTTATATTTTGAGACAAAGGATAGAAGTTCATGAATAAATCCTTCTTTACTATAATCCGGTGGTCTATAAATTGCACAGATTCCTAATTTATAACTAAAGTCTAGAATTAACTCTCCGGTAATACATTCGAAGTATTTAAAGGAAGAACTATGTCTAATGAAGGATAATGAATTATGAACATAAAGTAATAAACCTCCACCTTTTCTGTATTGCCTAAGTTCGTAGTACATTATGTAGTCTGGGAGTTCGTACATATTAACACAGTCTTCTTTTATGTTAGCTTCAGTTAAAATCAACAAATGAATGGTTTTATCGGAATTAAATAATATGTATTCGAGTTCAGCGAAGTTTTTGAGAGTAGATCTTATGTTTACATGAAATAGCAATAGCGGTTTGTCGTAATTCGGCAATTTATTTGTAAAATCGTTTAAGTTAATACAAGTTAATTCTTTAGAGTCACAAATTGTGTCATCCATTTTTTAAACAAAAGTATATACATATTGATAGTACAAATATTAGAGTATAAAAATTTAATTTAACTGTTCTAGTTTACGAGTATGCACTTCCAGCTGTTGTAAGGAGTGAAAAGAAATGATTTTCTCATTTTCGGATTTCCTCGCTAAGACAGTTCCATTCTTGCACCATACATATTTAAAACCATGACGTACCTTTAGTTCTGATTTTGTCTTCCACAGGAGGTATGCAGTAGCCGGTGTTAAAGACTCACGTAGGTATAGATTTTGTTCACCTTCCGCTCCTATATCACGAGCTGAGAACTTTACCTTCTTACTCGCTTCCAGCCAAGCACTACGCACACCGTTCCTCAGAATAACGGTAATGGGGTTGTGTGGAGATTCAATCCTTTTAGATTCGGTACGCTTGTGGGCTGGTACCTTCTTTCTATATGCTTTGATGACGTCGGAGATGTCGGTGTTAATTTTAGATGCCACGTTCTTTATTATTTCCATCGTGTCTTCCCGTTCCACTTCCTTGACTCCGCAGACTTCCAGCTGTTGGGATAGTTGTGCTTGCTCTAATTGGTTACACTTCCCTTCAAGGACGTCATATTTTAATGACATGTTTTTGAGATTATTTTTCAAATCAACGCACTGATTTTCGACCGTTTTGATCCTGGTTTCATATAATTTCATGCGCTCCTCATAGTCGTCTATCTTGTCGGAGTAGTACTTAAGCGAACGTTGTAATTCAAACTGAACAATGTCCTTAATTTCGTTCCTTATTTCCCGTAAAATTTGCTGCGTCATGTTGTTGTCTGGGATCAGAAACTCAGGGTCGGTATTATCGTCGCCTTCATCCTCGATATCAGGCATGATACATGACAGACGCCTGGATTTAGTTCCTTCCGCGCAAGTTCTACACTTCCAGTCGATAGCCTCGGTGGAGTTCAGGGTGATCAATTGATCAGAAGTAAGACCGGCACATAACGCATGTAACCACTTATTACATTTGCCACACTGCAATCCAGGTAGTTTCTTTGTAATTGTTTTAGTACATTTTATACATTTGACCATTTTAAGTTTTTTTTTTTTTTGTCTCGCGGGTAGTCGTAAGTGAATGATCGCACTGTACTTGATCAGACGAACGCTAACTGATGACTGATGATAATTGTCTGAATCTATGTATATATTATTATGTATATATTATTATGTACATATTCGTATTTATAAAAACGGAATAACACTCACTGATTTTTCAAATCTCTAAAATTACTTAAGCTTTATATGAAGTTTATCCTTTACAGTTTAAGATTACAACGTTTATAGTTAAAAATATATACTTAGAAAGATACAAATTTACAAAAAAATATAAAATATCGTGAAACAGAAATAATTACAGTAGCTTATATTCTTCTCTTTCTTTTGTTTTATTTAGAACTTCTCTCTCTCTCTCTCTCTCTCTCTCTCTCTCTCTCTATCTCAATCTTTCTCTATCTTTATCTACCTCTCTCTCTCTCTCTTAACTAATATGTCTGCTTCCTAAAGCTTGCTTGCTTCCAACATACACGTAAATAAAAAAGATCGATCGAATAAAATGTTCATATAAATTGAGTAGATTCAAATTTACGGCTGACCTCTCAATTATTTTAAAGCCAATACGAAACAGGACTGGTTTATTTTGTGGTTACAAAAACAATAAAATAGATATAACGCGAAGATAAAGCGGAAGATAAAATCTGGAGAATCTTAAAATAAAAAAAAGAAACAATTTCCATCTACAACAAAAATCTTAAAACAAAATTCTCTGTAAATATTGAAAATATTTCACTTTAGTCTATTTCTACCAATGTTTATCTGAACGGAAGCTAAGATATAATTTATATGTATATAGTATCAGACAATGTAAATAGTAAACAGATTGTACTCTGATGTTCCAATATTTAGCTTTTGAAGTCTTTCCGTTATTTCGGGACTCATAAAATTTTCCGAATAATTTGTTTACCTCGAATCTTCGTGAATGCCATTAGTCAATATAATATTGCTTTTACTACCATACTAGCGCTGCCCACGGCAATTCCCGCGTGGTTTATTTATTTCGATATATGGTATTTCCTACTTAAAAATACTTAAAAAGCTGTAAGGAAATAAATATAGTATAAAAATAAAAAACCCGACTGCATAAAAGCTAACTAAAAAGAGAAAACAAGTTCACGAAGGAATATAGTACCTAATATGCAGTCGGAGACATACATATGAGTATGTACATCTCGCGACAAGGATGAGACATGTACTCGTATGTCTCCGACTGCATAATACTATATTATTCCTTCGTTAACTTATTTTCTTCTTTTTAAGTAAGTTTTTATACAGTCAGGTTTTTTATTTTTATAATATTTACATATATTATAATTTAATTTAGAATAATAATCTTATTTTACCGGCCAATCCCCTTCTTACCTTCTCCATTCTACGTGACATTGGCGAAGAAATCTGCGCTCAATTGGCACGTTTTGAAGTCATTAGCAAGAGAATTTGATTAAAGGTACCTAAAGCGAAGAACAAGTTCATCGGTTACGGATTTTATAGAATTGTAAAAGCCACTTAGAGAAATTAGAAAGCTAAATTATTATTTTAACAGAAACACTTAACATGACATTGTGAAACATATGAAAAATAAAAAAATAGCCCTTTACTACTATAATAAATGTGAATGTTTGTAAATATGGATGTTTATTGGAAATTTGATACACAGAGGTAGATTATACTACACATAGGCTACTTTTATCCCGGAAAAATATACGATTCCCGAGGGATAGATTTGTTTTTGTTTTTCTAAAGGCGAGGGTGAGCCGCTAGTATTATATGAATTAAAAACCTTTCCTTTGAGTAAATCTTGATAACTTCAATAATTAAGGTACTTTTCCATATCCCATCGATTTGTTCCACCCTGTATATTACAAATCAAAATATGAATGTTCCATTAAAAATAACGTTTATTATGGTTATTAATATTAAATAATTTCCAGCGTGTACGTTGGCACAGCTGTAGAGTTACGGCGTAAATCCAATTTAACATAATATACAGGTGCAATGTAGCATTTAATAATAAAGCTGCAGGTTACATTAAATAATAAAATAAATATCTTCACACTATATGTTTCATACGAGGCAAACAAAAACTTTAGTTAACCTTTGCTTTTCGAAATTAATTTAACAATTTATATATTAATGCTTTCTTAGTTTGACATTTTAAATTGTTATTTGTGGTTAAGCCTTTTTTTTTAACGTTGGGAAATGCATTTACGCACGACGTGTGGGACTCACCGGCGTAATACAGCCAGTACTACCCACTAAAACCCAACAAAACCTTCCCCCGTCTTAATGGGGCGTCGCAGGATCGCTTACGCATTCAACTACGACGCCCCGACGGCAGGTCTGCCGAAGCAGACCACCACAACCATAGGGTTGCTCCAAGGTCCACTCTGCTATCAGAGAAGTACCAGGAGCAACCCGCATGGTACACCGCCCCCCGAAGAGGGCCACCTCCCACCGCCCACCGAAGTGGGCAACCTCCCTGTGCGTTTCTTAGCTTCGCGCCCGGTTGGGTTGCCGGGCACTACTAAGCCCCCCCACCACGACAAGGTGAACGCACGTTGGGGGGGATTTGTGGTTAAGCCTACCTAAGTCTGTAACAACTACACCTTCGAGACATCTAACACCTCAGTCTCTCCCGTGACCATGATTGTTGGGTATTGTATTGTTGGGAACCAAAAATCCAAATAAATCTGCGAAAAAATCCGAAAAGATAGTTTTATTTAAAATATTTATATATTTTTAACTTGATATTATTATTTTACCTGAAAAAGTTTTCCAAAAATAAAATTTCTAATTTTAAGTCTCTAATAGTGATTAAAATATTAAAATTAAATAAATAATATGAATCAGAAATCAAGATCTTCACAAAAGAGTCACACGTGAAGAGGTGGGCAGGCGTTTGCTAATATAGAGCCCTACTTCATATTTGACTTTCTCATCAAGATTAATGGGTGGTTTCTTTTGTTTGCGAAGTAAATATACTTGGTTCTTATCCAGAAATGTTGTATCAATATCTTTGGTTTACCATCGTTGTACAAAATATTTTCCGTTCTAAATATTAGTCATAAAGTCAGATTAGAGAAAAAGAAGAAAAAATGACATTCAGTAATAAACAATACGCAAACTACATTTCAAACATTTGCTGAATCCATTCTAATATTATAAATGCGAAAGTAACTCTATTTCATCTGTCTGTCTGACTGTTTGTCTGTTACGCTTTTGTGAAATCTTGTGTTTTTTTTAGGTATAATAATAATATATGCATACAAGTATTAGAGATGGGTGAAACCTTTTAGATAGAAATAGACTCCTTTTTTAACAAAAATGAAATAGGGTTTGAAAGTTTGTATTGGGAACAAATCTTTTCTCAAGTTTAGGATATAAAAAAATGTGGTAAGAAATAAAAAATGTTTCGGTATTATTGACCAATCAAGGTAAAACAAGAGATGAATTTAAGTTTTTTCAAAGTACTTTCCACTTTTCTATACCTATATATGTATGTATATATATATATATATATACAGTTCATTCTATACTAACCGGTAACGGGATTTACGCACCTAGGGACGCACCCATGCGAAGCGGGGGTAAGTTGCTAATTATAATATAAATAAGATAATAACTACTTCAAATAAACAAAAGGTGCTATCAAGATAAATATAATATTAAGTCATGTTATGAAATGCATGAATCTTGAAATAAAACATTAATTAAAGTGGCAGCAAATAGTAAAAATAACTTGAGCTATTAATAGATACACTCACCAAACTGCTTAAAACACATTAAATAAATAAATATGTTGGGACATTAACACACAGCACCATCTAGTTCCATGGTAAGCTACGAGGCTTGTGTTATGGATACCAGATAGTTGATACACTACACATATATATAACTTTAAATACATACATATGATGAATATAATGACTGGAGTACAAACATTCATGCTCGACACACAAATGAATGCCCCCAGCGGGACTCGAACCCGCAACCGCTGGCACAGCAAGTAGGGTCACTACAAACTGAGCCAAACGTGTCGTCAATTGCGTGTCGCTATAGGTAAAAGTGTACAAATAACGAAAATAAATTAAATAACACTATATTCATTCATCCATAAATGATGATATCTTAGATATCTTAGATAACTTCGCGCTAGGCACAAACAGTAGCACAACTTCACGGGCCGCTGCTAATTAGTTAGGATGTTACTAACTAATCAAACAATATTTCCCAATACGAAGAAACGGCACATTCTTCACATAATTTCATCAAATAAAGTCGTATTTGTTTCAGTACTAAAAACTTTCTAATAAATAGCTCTTAATTGCAAACATTTTTATAATTCTTACTAATAAATAACTTTTAATTGCAAATAATAAAATTGTAACTAAGCCGAATCTGTACATTAAATATTTTTTGGAAAATCTTATTGAAATAAACATTATTATCGATACAGGGGCCGAATCTATAGTTTTCAGAATTTTTGTCCATCTGTCTGTCTGTCTGTTACCGCATCACAGAAAAACCACTGGAGGGATTTTGATGAAATTTGGTATGGTGATGGCTGGTTATCTAGGTCAACATATAGAATACTTTTTAACGCGGGAAAATATCTCATTTCTGAGAAAAAATACAAAAACTGCAATGTAACAATATACTAATATGTAAAACCTAACAATTTAGTTTTTCGTCATCTGAACGCGGGCGGAGACGCGGGCAATGCTAGTATCTTTACATTAAAGAAATTTTCCATGAAACATAACCATTAATACTTACAAAATTTTAGAAACATCAACTAAGCAAATATTTTCAAACACTAATCGTCACATCCATCACATTTGTCACTGTTTTATAGCACTTATTAGAGTATTAAACGTAATTCCTTTAATTACACCATGACGCAAATAAAAAAAAAATTATCACTCAGTAGATTACTAATTTAGGAAGTATGGACCTATTTTATTTTCAACACAAATTGT